AGGGCGCGGCCACAACCGCTGGAGCGCTTGTCCCCCCACCTCGCCCACAGGCCTGGCCGGCCACCTGCTGCCCGCGACGCGGGTGCGGCCTCCCGGCGTCGCCGGCCTCGGGTGCGCCTGGCGGGAGGAGGGGCGCTGTCGCTCGGGACCCACTGACCGCAACGAGGGACCACTGCCCACAGCCCGTAGGTTATTTACACCTGTCAGTGCATCCTTCCTCAGCTGGTCTCCGCACCCGCAATCCGCTGTTGCCATTCCTTTTAAAACAAACAAACAAACAAAAGCCTTACTCACATATAATTCACACATTTAAATGTACATCTATGAAGCATTAATGACATTCGCCACGTTGCCATCACCACATCTATTTCCAGACGTTTTCATCACCAGCCAGAAACCCTTCAGATCCCGGTAGCCTCTAATATACTTTGTATCTCTGTAACTTTCAGCAGCATCATGATGGATGGTGAAGAGATTTGAGATTGTTAAGAGCTTCAGTTGGCTTGGCTTCACAATCAACACTCTTGGTACCAGCAGCCAGGAAATCAAAAGATGAATTGCACTGGGAAAGTCTGCTGTCAGAGACCTCTCCAGAGTACTGAAGAGAAACGATGTCAGTCTGGAGACTAAGGTGCGCCTGATCCAGGCCATGGTCTTTGCAATTACTTGCTATGCATCAGAAAGCTGGACAGTGAGTAAGGATGATAGAAAAAGAATCAATGCCTTTGAGCTGTGGTGCTGGAGAAGAGTATTGAATACACCATGGTCTGCTAGGAGAACAAACAGGGTCATCCTGAAGAGGGTGAAACCAAGCTGCTCCTTGGAGGCAAAGATTCTGAAGCTTGCTCTGACATACTTTGGGCATGTTGCAAGGAGGGACCAGTCCTTGGAAAGGGACGTCATGCTTGGGACAGTGGAGGGACATCACAGGAGGAGAAGACCCTCTATGAGATGGATTGATTCAGTTACTGAGGTAATGGGGATGAGTGTGTCACATACAATAAGAATGGCACAGGATAGAGCAAGGTTTAGGGCTGTTGTACATAGGGTCACTATGAGTCGCAAGCGACTTGACGGCACGTAACAACAACAATTATTGTCTATACACAGGATCTAGCACATTTGCCCTTTTCTGACTAACTTCTCTCAGTATCATGTTATCAGTCCATGTTATAGGAACATTGAAATTTCATTTCTCTGGCTAAATACTGTGCTTAGATGGGCCACAGTGGGTTTATCTGGGCATTCATTAGTGGACATTTAATCCATTCCCTCCTTTTGGCTGTGGGGGAACATTCTTGTGCAAGTAGCCCTTAGGTACACACCTAGAAGAGGAATTAGGAGAACAAAACTGTTTTTCACAAGAGCTGCACAATTTTACCTGTAAGAAGTAGATGAGAACTACTATTAATTTCTACACATCCTCACCCAGCTTTTTAATTTTCCATTTTTCTGATCATGGCCATCTTACAGGAATTGAACCGCTACCTCATTGTAGTTTTTATTTTAATATCTCTAGTCATCTTTTCATGTTCTTGTTGGCTTTTTATGTATCTTCTTTGGAGAAATTTCTATTCCAATTCTTCACTCATTTTCAACGGAAATATTTTAAAATTGGTTATACGAGGTGTTGCATGTGGTCTTTTCTTCTCTGTCTTCGCAATGACCTTTTGCTTTCTTCATGGATGATGTGCTTTATGTCATCCCACAACTCATCTGGTCTTTGGCCATTAGTGATCAATACATCAAATCTATTCTTACAGAGGTTTTGAATTTCAGTTGGAGTGGACTTAATTCGTCTTTTGGTTTCCATGAATTTGTTTTCATTTCTTAAGCTTCAATTTGAACTTGCATAGGAGTCAGCCCCTGGCCAAATGTCTGTGTACTCTATCAGGTGAAGTCCATATGCATTCTTGTTGTTGTTATGTGCTGTGAAGTTGCTTGCGACTCATAGCAACCCTATGTACAACTCATTGAGGGTCTTCCCCTCCTGCGCTGTCCCTCCTCCCTCACAAGCATGATGTCCTTCTCCAAGGACTGGTCCCTCTTTGCAACATGTCCAAAGTATGTCAGCCAAAGCTTCATCTGTCAATGTGCATAGTCACCATTTATGTTTTCTAACAAAGGTATTTGCAGTAAGTGAATCATTACGTGTACAACATTCTATAATTCCATCTCCAGCCTCATTTCTGTCACCAAGTCTGTACTTTCCAAATACCAGTCCTTTTTCTTTGTTTCCAACTTTTGCATTCCAATCACTAATCAATAGTCATGTGTCTTGGTCACATGTTAGATCAATTTCAGACTGAAAAAAAGAATTGGTAGAAATCCTGATTTTTTTTTCTTTGTGTGCATTTGGATAATATTCTGCCACTCACAGCATTATACTCCAGGATAAATCTTTAAATATTCTTTTGACTATAATACAACACCATTCCTCTTCAATTTCTCACTCCTGGCATAATACAGCATATGATTGTCTGATTCAAGGTAGGCAATACCAGTTCATCCCAACTCATTAATGCCAAGGATGTCAATCTTTATGCATTCCATTTCAATTTTTTACAACTTCCAGTTTTCTTAGATTCATAGTTTATACATCCAGATTCCAATTATTAATGGTTTTTTCCAGCTGTTTCTCCTCATTTTTTGAGTGCCTTCCAGCCTAAAGAACTCTGTTTCACACACTATATACAACAATGTTTGTACTCTCTTCGGCAGCACATATACTAAAATTGGAAAAATACAGAGAAGACTAGCATGGTCCCTGCACAAGGATGACACACAAATTCATGAAGCGTTCCATTAAAAAAAAATACCCCAAACCTCAATGTTCTACCGTGGTCCATATGGTTTTCAAACGCTTGTCATTTCAGAAGTGGATGGCCAATCCTGCTTGGTCTGGCACCTCCGCTGAAACCTGTCCACCGTGGATGATCCCGCTGGTATTTTAAATACTGGTGGCACAGCTTCCAGCATCACAGCAATATGCAAGTGATCTTAGCACAACAAACTGGCAGACATGAGCAAACTCTAAACAAGCAAGCATATACACACATAAACAATAAAACAAGAAGCCCCATCAACAAATAAACAGATATACAAACTATTGTACATTCACACAATGGAATATTACGCAGCATTGAAACACAATAAACTCGTAAAATATTAGCCAACATGGAGGAGCCTGGAGGACGCTGTGCTGAGTTGAATATCTCAGTCACAAGACAAATACTAAAAAAAAAGGACAAATACTGCATATCACAGCTGTTATGTTAAAATAGGACAGACATGGGAAGTTTGGGAGAGACTGGGAAAAGACTGGAAAAGAGACTGGTATAATTAATATTGCATTAGATCAGATGAGGGAAAGAACTGTCTAAAAGGTATATATGATTAGGCATCATATATGACAACAATCTGCAACAAGGGGTGCATTGCGGGAGGGCTGGTGGAGGAAGGAAGGGGAGAAAGAAAATGTGCAACAATAGGAAAAAAATTAAAATAAAACATTTCTTTAAAAAACCAAGAAGCATAGCAGCAACACCTAAGCCACTCCCTTCAACACAGCAAAGTGACCTACAAATACTGC